AGACCCAGCCCTCTACTGTATCCTGTAACCCCATGGCTAATCCGCCTAGCCCACACATTCCTGAATACTGCAGACAACTTCAGTATGGCCAGTCCACCTAACATGCACTTCTTTGGGCTGTGGGAGGAAACCCACACAGACACAGCGAGAACATGCAAACTCCACACAGACAATCGCCCAAGGCTGGAATTGAACCTGCCGCAGCACTAATCCCTGCGCTACCATGCTGCCCATATGGAGTTGAGGGAAAAAAAGGAAGGAAAAAAATCTACTAGCAGAGATTCATGCATGGACAAAAGCAATAATCAAAGCCGTATTCTCTACAGGCTACTGCAACATTAGTTCACTGCCTGTGGAATCTGTCAACAGTTTTCCTCAGTGGTGGGCAGCAGTCAGGTCTGATGTGAAGTAGGGGAACATAGAACTCGAGTAGGCCATTCAGCCCTTGAGCCTGTTCTACCATTCAGTAAGATCAGGGCTGATCTGTGGCCAAACTCCATATACCTGCCTCTGGCCCATATCCCTTAATACTTAATAAAAATTTATCTATCCCAGATTTAAAATTTAAAAACTGACTCAGCACCCATTGCCATTTGTGGAAGAGAGTTCCAAGCATCTACCATCCTTTGTAGAAGAGCTTCCTGGCATCTCTCCTGAATGGTTTGGCCTGAATTCTCAGACTGTTCTGGTAAAAATAGCTTATCTTTGTCTACCCTGTTCTTTTTCCTATTAATATCTTGAAGTCTTTAATCAGATCACCCCCTTAAACTTCTAAGTTCTAGAGAAAATGGGCCTACTTTGTATAACCTCTGCTGAAATTTAACTTCTGATGTCCAGGTATCATTCTTGTAACCTACATTGTACTCCCTCCAAGGCCAATATATTTTTCCTAAGGCATGGTGTGCAGACCTGCTGTCAGTACTGCCATGTGGGGTCGAACTAGCATTTTGTATAACTAGCATAACCTTTGCTCTAGTTCTCTAGATATGAAGGTCAGCGTTCCATTAGCTTTCTTGATTGGGTACTGTTCATTAGTCACCTACTGAACTGATGATGATTTTCAGCCTAATTGTTCAGGTTAAATCTCAACTTCTTCAACAGTGCAGTGAAATGGCTGAATGCAAGCAATTGAAACATTCATTTGCAGAGGATGCTGAAGATATATATGATGTAATAGAGACATACAGTATGGGAACAGACCTTTTAGTCCAACTAGTCCGTGCTGACCATCTTCAAGGGAATTGTACTTAGTACTTTCAAAAGCATGGGAAGTTCTTAAGTTTATCATGACTGCAGAACTCTTTGTGAAGGAGAAATGGAAGATAGTCCAGTATTATGGCCAGGCGGCTAGTAAGCTGCAGTGGATCTGAGAGATGCGCATTTCAATATTGGAATCTGGAATAATTTGGTTTCAAAAATGGGGATGGAGGTTACTTGGAATTAACTAGTTCTACGAGTTTTGAAATGTTTCCGTAGCAATCAGAAAGTCTGTTACTGCACTAGTTAGTGGAAAAGACTTCTTCATATTTTTTCCATGGTTTCTGCTCGTAAAATGGATCTTGAGATGGCACCAGCAAGAAAATTATACTTATCCCTATTTTCACTTGTGGTTCTTTTGCATCAGTAGTTTAGATTCTTGTTAAAGGAACTTTAGGAGTCCACCTTCATCACTAGCCTGAGAAAATAGATATTCCAGGTGACGAATGCCTATTGAGATAGCCTGCTTAGAAGGAATATTGTAATAATTGGCATCTTCAAAATCTGTGTTCATGATCTAAAAATGTGATCTTTCATTCCTTTTGATTACTTCAAAATCTCTAAGTGGATCTCGAGAGTATTTACCACCGCATTTAGAGTAAGAATCTTTTAAATCTTTGGGTTCCTGTTATGTTTCTTTTAAAAGGTTTCTTAATTGCACCTGTGGTAATGGATCATTTCTACCTTATTTGATTTGTTTTTATCCAAGACTGAATTATGCTTATGTCAAAGTCACATTGATAATTTTCTTGTTATTTGCCACTTTGTATTTTTTCAACTGAAAAGGTATAAATTTTTAATGCAGATAAAACAGCAGATTATCTAGATAGCCAATGATCTATGTTGGGTGCAAGGTTTTAAGCAATTTCTCATTAATGAAGCTTCGTTCATTGAGTAACAACCTATTTCCTCATGCTAGTTTCCAACAGTAACTATGAGGAAAGTTGGAGATCATTTGTACTTGTATTGTCTGGCAGAGAAAATGTATGAAAGATTCCTTTCAAAGCCATCTGCAAAGATTTACATTCTTGTGTTTAAAGTATGCAATGATTAGCACTTAAGCACTGCTTGTTCAACTCGATTTGAAGTTGTCAAGTTTTCAACTAAATCATCACCATCACTGCTACTTAGGTTTACTTCAAGACAAACAAATGAAGATTGATTAGATGGTTCCTCATTTGTTCAATTCTTATGTGCATTTAAGATATGGAACTAAATACTGTGTCCTAAATGGCAAAAATGTGAAAGGAATACAGGAACAGAGATCCAGCAGTACAGGAAAGCTATTTCCCAAATGTGGGATCACTGTGATCTCTCTCTCTGACCTTTTGTAGTCCTTAATATGAGATTGATCTCTAGTGTCTTCTGCTTCTGTTGTCATATTTCCTACAAAAACATTAATTTTGTTTGGTTACTAATTTTCTAAAGATTTATTGATTTAGTTTTGACCAACGTTAACATTGAAGAAATATTTGAGTGTAACACCAAATGAATGAGGTCTTGCTTTCAGGAGTAGTTATTCAGCTGACTCCTTGGCTTACTTAGGATTCCTCCCAAACAATTATTTTGTTTTTCCCTCTCCCACTTTTGCTCTAGAGCAACATCGAAAGTTGCCTATATTCCAAAATTAGGGGAAAGAAGAAAGCAAAAGGACAATGGAATGACAGGATATGTGGCAAATTTAGCTTAGTATAGATTTATATTAATTAGGTCATTTTTGGGAGAAATAACGCAGAATATGTCCTAAATAGTGTGTTCCTCAATGGAGTAAAGGAATAGAATGGCTTAGAGGTAGGTTTTCAAACATTTTATTGCAGGTAGAAAAGCCTCAAAAAAAAAAAAACAGGGTTTTGAGTCATATGCACCTTTTTGATTGCATAATAGGGCTCCTAGCCATTTTGTATTGTTGGGAAGGTTCCTCAAGGTATGCGTTGAGGGAGTGTGTGAGATATAAATTTTATAACCTTAAAAATAAGAAGGAAAGGAAATTAACTTCAGGCTACATTTATTCTGAAACTTTATATTTGGCTTTCTGTTGTGTGACTGGTTATTTTAATCAATGGAATAGGTGTTGCCCTATTATTTGATGCCTTCAGGTTTTAGTTAAATATAAAAATGTAGTGCTGTCTCTTCCTTTTCAATATTTGGGATTGTTTCAGATCTTCTACAAATATATTTTATTTTGCACTCCTTTCTGTAATGTTTGTCTTAAAATTTATTTTATTTTGTTTAAATGTGCAGCAGGGTAGTTTTTTGGTCGAGGGCTGTAGGTTTTTTAAACATTCAATGTTGCTATTCTGTGCAGTCCAATTTTAAATGTATTGCATCGGATGACTGTATAATAGATCAGTCATACCAGATTCTTTTTGTAATCTGTTCTTTATGCATCATCACAACACATCCATGTGCCTTAATGTTAAGTTTCAGGTATTCACCAGTCTTATTGAGCAGGGAAATGTGGGTTGGAAGGCTGAGGGTTTTCCTTTTTGCTACACATTCACATCGTGATTACTGTTGCACGAAAATAATTAAACTTGGAGTTATAGAGATATACAGCAAGGCAACAGACCCTTTGATCCAACTCGTCCATGCTGACCAGATATCCTAAATAAATGTAGTACCATTTGCCAGCATTTTAGCCCATATCCCTCAAGCGTTTCCTATTCATGAACCCATCCAGATGCCTTTTTAAACGTTGTAATTGTACCAACCTTCACCACTTCCTCTGGCATCTTGCTCCATACACGCACCACCTTCTGTGTGAAAAAGTTGCCCCTCGGGTCCCTTTTGAATCTTTCCCCTCTCACCTTCAACCTATGCCTTCCAGTTTTGGACTCCCACCCTGGGGAAAAGACCTTGTCTAATTACCCTATCCATGCCCCTCAAGATTTTATAAACCTCTATAAGGTCACCCCTCAGCTTCCACCACTCCAAGGAAAACAGCCCCAGTCTATTCACCCTCTCCCTATAGCTCAAACCCTCCAAACATGGCAACATCTTCGTAAATCTTTTCTGAGCCCTTTCAAGTTTCACAACATCCTTCCTATAGCAGGGAGACCAGACTTGAGGCAGTATTCCAATAGTGGTCTAACCAATGTCCTGTTCAGCCACAACATGACCTCCCAACTCCTATAGTCAATACACTGACCAATTAAGGCAAGGATATCAAGCGCTGCCTTCATTATCCTATCTACCTGTGACTCCACTTTCAAAAACGATGAACCTGCACTGCAAGGTCTCCTTGTTCAGCAACATTCCCCCAAACCTTACCATTAAGTGTATATGGCCTGTCCTGATTTCCTTACCAAAATGCAGCATCTCTCATTTATCTAAATTTAAACTCCATCTGCCACTCCTTGGCCCATCTGATCAAGATCCTATTGTAGTCTGAGGTAACCTCCTTCGCTGTCCACCAGACCTCCAATTTAGGTGTCATCTGCAGACTTGCTAACCATACCTCTTATCTGCTCTTCATTGTGAGAGTTCTGCCGGGCTTCAATCTGAAAACTAAAGTAGGGCCATGTGCTAGAAAATATATTGCATCATACAGGTTTTTGCCAATGGGAGTCACGCTGAAGATTGTTTTGACTTTTTTTAAATTCAAATTGTTCTCATTTACAGTGCATTTAGGCTCAATTTAAATTAACTGAAGAGTTCTCTGTTTAGATGTTTCTAAACCATATGTGCTGAGTGTTTTACAACATTTTCTGTTCATTAACTATTTCTGGCTTCTTGTTTTACAGAGTAATGTGTCCTGTTCCCTTCCAGTATTATAGCTTGTGAAGTATGCAGATTATCACTAGCAATTGTTTGTTGGAAAGGTAAGTATTGTGCCACATCCCAACCTGTGGCTAACTCAAAGACAGTCTCTTGGGACATCTGCTGCTCAGTGTGATGAATGTGTGGGTTCTGGGTACGTCATTTATGAATGCAGTGAGCCCCTTATTTCAATGATAATATTATGAACAGTTGCTTAATGGAAGCTAGGCCCTTGAAACTTCTGGATAAGAGAGAACTGTAGTTTTGTTTTAATGGGATCTTTTCATTAGCTCCAAGGGAGTTGGGAACGCTATATTCCTAATGACATTCTGTTGACTTCTTTTGGTTATTGGCAGAAAAAATCTCAACTGGGTTGACATCCCAAAACTGCCTATGCAGTGAATGGAGACTCAAAATTCTGAGCTGTATGTTAAATAAAAATGATCAGCCCCTTATGACCTGCTACTTTCTTAGTTGATTTCACAGTGAGCTGTTTAAAAGAATTGCTGGACACAAAAATAGGTGCAGGGCCAGGTAGTGTTGAAGAAGCAGGAGGCTGCAGAAGACTTGGATAGGCTAGGACAGTGGGCAAGGAAGTCGCAGATGGAATACAATGTAGGAAAGCATGAGGTTATGCTATGAAGAATAGAGGCATAGACTGAGATTTCCAAAGCCTATCCCAGTTTAGAAAACAAAGCACAAAGAGACTTGAGAGTCCTAGTTCAGGATTCTCAAGGTTTACATGCAGGTTCACTTAGCAGTTGGGAAGGAAAATGAGGCGTTAGCGTTCATTTCAAGAGGGCTGGAATACGAGAGCAGAGGTGTACTGCTGAGACTGTATAAGGCTCTGGTCAGACTGTATTTGGAATATTGTGAGCAGGTTTGGGCCTTGTATCTAAGGAAGGATGTATTGGCCCTGGTGGGGGTCCAGAGGAGGTTTATGAGAATGATCCTGGGGATGAAGGGCTTGTCAATATGAGGTGTTGAGGACTCTACTTGGAGTTTAGAAGGATGAGGGGGACCCTGATTGAAACTTACATAATGTTGAGGCGCCTGGGTAGAGTGGGCATGGAGATGTTGCCTCCTCCAGTACGAGAGACTAGGACCCAAGGGCACAGCCTTGGAGTGAAGGGGCTACTGTTTAGAACGGAGATGAGCAGGAATTTCTTCAGCCAGAGGGTGGTGAATCCGTGTAACACATTGCTGCAGAGGGCTGTGGAGGCCAAGATATTGAATGACTTTTAGACACAGATGTTCTTGATTGCTAAAGGGTTCAAGGGTTACAGGAGAAGGCAGAATGGGGTTGATAAACATATCAGCAATGATCAAATGGCAGAGCAGACACGATGGGCCATATGGCCTAATTCTGCACCTGTATCTTTTGGCTTTATGATGTGATTTATTTTCCTATTCCTTCAAAGATAAAACACCTTACCTTTGGAGAAGGAAGGGGAAAAAAATTATGGTTAGATACAATGTGAAGTATGTGTCTTTTGGTCAGCTCACCTTTTGGCTCTGTAACCGGTGTTACGATTGTTAATATTTATTCATTGAGTGCTCAAATTTCTCTTTAAAGAAAATTATGCCACAATATTTCACCTTTTTAAACAAAAAATAAATTTTATTATACATAAAGGGAAATTAAACAAACAAGCAGCACTACCTTAATACTATGGCCATATGGACTAAAACAAAGTTCTACTTTTTCCACCATGAGTTCCCTTGTACAAGAATCTTGAGTGTTCGTTGCTTCTTTAGGGATCAACCTACAAGGTTAGCTGCAGCCCTCTGGATTTATTTTTAATTTGCCTAAGTATTCCAACTGTTCTCAGTTATGAAATTTCATAGGAATTCTTTCATTAGCTTTTAGGTAAGTGATCCTCCAGTTTTCTTGAAAGACTTGATGACTGTGGACTCTAGTTCCAGAGTCTGGTGAAGAATAGGCTTCAAAGCCCCATTACTTAATGACTTAGACATCAGGAACTTCCTGTATGTTCCTCAGCTTCTGCATAGCTGCTGATCCCAGAGCTGAATCTCAGCTCTTTGCAGATACTATCTCTCTGCCTTTTTTCCAAATTGATTGACCAAGCTGACTGGTTCCGACCAAACTGGCTTCTGCTGCAAGGCGCTGTAAAAACCGTTGTGATTTCTTCCTCTAGTTTCAAAGTAGTCAATTTTCCAGTGTTCTCTCTCCTATGAATTCCAGACTGAACTTGAGCCTCACTCATTCTGCTCAGTAAATGATAAAGTTAGTATTTTCTTTGCTCAAAATGCAGACTTGATCAAGATTATTTCCTTGGGCTCTCCCAAATCTGAACAGCACTCTACTCCAAAACTGCAACTGCCTCTAATTTCTAACTGAACTATTTGCTTTTGTCAGCAACCCTACACAAACAAAATAACCCCACTTTGGAAAAAAAACTCCATGTCTGAGGTATTCTTTTGGATTTTGTCAAATACAAAATGTAAACAATTTACCTTCAGTGCTACTGTTAGATTCTTCGACCCATACGAATAACTAATATTGCCGATGGCATTTAATGACTCTTTCTTTAAATTTCTTGGTTCCATAAAGGAACTCCCATGTTTACAAAGTCCTTGCATATGTAAACTACATATTTCAAAATCTTTCATTGAAGGAAGGGCAGACCTTGGGTGAACCCCTCTTCCTCCTCTCTCTCCCTCCCCACCCCCCCCCACCCCCCTCCCAAATTGTTTATGGCTTTCAAGTTGTTAATCTGACCCTGAAGAGAAATATAACTTGCCTTTTGATTGTAATTGACTCCAAGTTTGTTTGAGTTGCAGTTGTTTTTCCCAGTTTCTGAACCAGTTACCCCAATTCTTTAGTTTAAAACTGTATTTTACTATATAACTTAGTTTTAAGAATTAGACTATGAATCAGACTTTTGCAACATGGTATATAGAATGAAAAGGTTTTGTGGCAAAGACTGGTTGGTTCTACAGGGAGACACCAAATAATTGTGTATGATGCCTTATCTGTTGCTAAATTTTATTTTCACTATTTGTTTCAGAGTGATCTGCTTAAGGAAATTGCTGGATTCTCTCAATCTCCGCATACCCTTCATCCCAAAATACCTGTATTCACCACAGCAGCACACCATGGTTTGCATGTACTGAATATCCAAATCATTGTGTGCTGTTATGGAGAGTTCAGGGAAGTCTGGGTAACAGTGGGACAAAAGGGCTGTCTTCAGTATTTTGGGGGTTTGTATGGAATTGAAGAAGTTTTATAAATGGCTCTTGCCCCCCTAAATAACCACTAGCCTGAGTAAATGCCTCCAGGAATTTAGACAGGTTTTACCAAAGTTGATTCTGGCTGTACCATGCTGTCTGGCAATCGCCCAGTTTGTGATTAGATGTACCGTCATTTGTCTTTAGGTCCCTTTCTCTCTGCGTCTGTTGTTTCATCACTGTTGTATGAACTATATTAGGTATTGGACTATTGATCCAGAGGCAAACACCTGGAGAATTTAAATTCAGTTAATTAAATATAATTATCTGAACTAAAATGAAACTAATCTTGGTGACCATGTAACTACCCAGTTTCAATAATGTTCTTTTTGAAGGTAATCTGCCATTCTTATCTGGTCTGGCCTGCATGTAACTCCAGAGCAATGACAGTGACTTTTAACTGAAATGGCCTAGCAAACCACTCAATTGTATTTTTAAAAAAAAAAGTTGATAAGAGCATTTAGGATTGGGTGATAAATAATGGCCTTGGATCCTGTGAGCGAATAAAAAGTACAATTAGTGACTCCGCTGACCTTCCTATTATTTTTCTTTGGTTATAAACCTGCAACCTCCAGGGCTTTAATTGTTCCGACATAAGAATTATTGGACCAGTTTTTAGTTTTAATTTCTTTCTTGGGAATCTCCTAAATGTGGACTACCATTTCCTGCATCATACAATTGATAAACTTTCAAATCCTATATATATGTAATGCTTAAGGTTTAGTGTTTCTTCTTTTTAGTTCTATGTGGCCATGCGAGTGACAGTACCTTGATCCTGCTTGTGAATTTTGTGGCACTTTTTCAGAATTGTGAGATCTCTAAAATTTAGCAAAAATTTTGTTTTTTAAATCAATATTATATCTCTTTAAAAGCCTGCATCAAGTTGTATGAATTGTTTCCATAAACACAATACTCTTTACAGAAGCAGACTATCTATTGTGAAGGTGTATCCCAAATTTTATTGCTAGCACCCAAATATTAATTGCTTCAGAAGGCAGGTGCTGCTCATTCCCCCCTCTTCCATATGAAAATAAAAATTATTTCTATTTCACACTTATGGATATATTTCAACTTCTTTGTAGCAGAACAAAAATACTACAGATTTGATGGTGTAAACAATCAGTGTCTTGAGAAGCACAATGAATGTGTTTATTTGCATAGAATTCAGTTACTATTTCATTTGCATCGATAAGAACACAAAATATCTAAATTTTGATAGGAGTAATAATTAACATTGCAAATCTATTAGTAATCAGTGCAGATAGACACTTAAATAGTCACTGATAGTAAGTATCCTGCATCCCACTAAGGAAAGCACATGTGCAACAATGCACTTCAGGATGAAGATTTTTCTCCACTCTTAAGATCACAAGAAATAAGAACAGCAGTCGGCTGTTTGGCCCTTCGAACCTGCTCTGCCATTCAACAGGATCATGGGTGATCCAACAATCCTCGTGTCCACTTTCCTGCCTTTTTCATGGAAGCCTTGATTTCCCCTGTTGATCAGGAATCTGTGTATCTCAGCCTTTAAATATACACAAGCACTACCCTCACCCCCACCCTGTTTTCCATGGCGAGGAGTTACAAGACTCAACACTCTAAAGATTTGTCTTCATCTCAGTCTTATATTGAATATTTTTCTTTATGGGATGTGGGCTTCACTGCCTGATTGCCCATAAAAGATGAAAACTTGGTTGGCATAGACGAGTTGGACTAAAGGGTTGGTTTTCATGCTGCATGACTGACTCTAGTTAGTTTGCTATCCTGAAGATTACCTCTACCTCTAACTCACCAACACTCATGGCCCTTAAGCGCCTTCATACAATAGCCTTTGTTGTGGCACCTTATCAAAGACCTTTTGCAATTGCAAATGTACTACATGTATTGAATCTCCCATATCCTCCCTGCTTAAACCCTATGCAGCTACACGGCACGTGCTATTTGCAGTGGTGTGCGTATATTAATATAAAGAACTCTACTTGTTTTAGTTACACTGCATTAAACTTACAAGCTTGTCCCAAAGTCGTACTTGTATCCAGATAGTGCACAAATATGCATTAGTAGCAGGCCTTTCCCTGTGTCTGGAACTGTTCGTTTGAATTTGCATCATTTATGCAGTTTTTTTTGCTAGTCGTTTTATCTTGATGCTGTAGAACTTTAGTATTGTAAACCTGGTTTGAAATGTTTCTTTGGACGAAGTGCTAAAATACACAGTGCAAGGTTCACCAGGGGCTGAAGGAAAAAATAGGAAACAAAGATACACAAAGCTTGAATCCTAACACGGCTGCACTAAATAAAAGACCAATTTCACGGGATATTGAGAAAGGCTATTGTATATTAAAATGTGTATTGGAAGACTCTTGAATTAAAGCATATAGCCAAATTGTATGGCAATTTTCACTGTCATTTTTGCTGCTGGCTTAACCATCAGTGGGTTTGGGTTTAAGACGATAATTATATAATCTTTTATTCATAAGATCCAAGTGAAAACCTATTGTTTGTGTAATCATCACTAAATGTCTTTTGATCCTTGAACTGATCACTGATTTATTGTGTATCCATCCATGACTGAGTACTGCAGATTGAAGCTAGTTCTGATCTTTCTGAAACAATTGCTTTAAATTAATGTTGAATATTCTGGACTGAATCACCTCTCTCCTCCAACTGCAACCCAGTAAATTCTAATGAAACCACTTAAGCAAAAATTGAGAAGTGAGGAATAAATCAATAATAAGTTTTTACTAATAACTCAGTTTGACGTTTTGTTTAACATTACCTCCGTTACGTTACAACTAATCCTACATCTTTAAAACATGTAATTTATGCAGTTAATTCCCTGGATGGAGGGATTCCGAGAACCAGGGTGCTGGAACAAGGGAATCATGGAGCATTCTGTCGACTCTACTTTAGCAGCACATAAATATTGGCAGGTTCCAATACTGTTTTGCCAATATTGCGTGTGCTGCTCCAATATGGCTCGACGCTTGCAGCAAATTGCAGGAGCACATGGTAACTTTGAAGACCCTGTTGTGTAAGAATCATTGTCCTGGTTTGTTTGCACCATGTTGAATTCCAAATGTGAAAAAAATAAAAGCAAAAGAACTCCATTAGCACTTCTGACTTTGTTTACTGTTCTTTTGAATTCTCAGTGCACTGAATTTTGCAATCTAAGTTTAAAATCTGAAATGAATTTTGATTTTATCTTTAGGGACAGTGCTTCCCAAACTCTTCCCCATTTTTAGTATTAAGGTATTGTGATCAGTTTTCACTACATATATGCTTTTATTGTGTATACAGTAAAGGTTGGGTAGGGGAGGAATAGGGAGCCTGGTAAGTGGATGAGTGTTAATGGTAGGTCGAGGGGTCAGGCCTGGAAATGTTAGGATGAACTTAAGATTAACAGTTATCCATGAGTTAGAGCAGATTTTAATCTTTTAGCTTTTCCTGGGTAACTACTGATCTTAAATGAGTCGGAATTCCCCTGCTTCATGACAACTAATGATGTAGCTAATAGGTGTTATTCTTCTCAATTAGTGTTGCCTGGTACCCAGTCCTCGAGCAGTGCCAACAACAATGAGGCTTTAGCATGTCCTTCGTTAATGCTTAGAACAGAATTTGTGCCACAGAACTCATCCTGCACCAAATTCCCATTTCACTTCCTGTTCATGTAGATCAATTCTCTAACTTTTTTTTAAAAAAAGATGCTTCAACAAACTCTTTCTCCCCATGCCTCCACCACACACACAATTTGAAATGAAACTTGAAAGATTTTACCTGAAGAGTGCAGAACTTAGATACCAACCTTTACCAAAATAGTTTCTTGATTAAATAGCCTTTGACATTGTATATAAATAAGAACACATCAGTCAAAACAAGTACACCAATTCACTCTCCCTGGATACAGTGTATTCCAGAGCGCCTCAATGGTTTGCTATCAGTAGGGTGACAGGATTAAGGTGCTGCAAATACAGTGACAGAAGGCAGCAAACCAATTTTGCCAGTCAAGTTAGCAATTATTCATAATCAAAAAATTAGGAAAACAATCTCCAATCATAAAACATAGCACCCAACCCTGGATTAGTGACTCATTCAGTATAAATAGAGTGCACAGTAAGACTCCATAATCTGACAGGTTCCGCCAATTTCTGCCTGATGCCCTTCTATTGTGCTCACCCTAATAATCCATTTTCTGTCAATCTTATTTTCTATAAACAATCTAACTATTGATGCCTGTTCCAATAAATTTAAAATTAATTGCTCAGCTGGAACTAACATTTGTAGAAAAAGTAACAGCAAATTTACATAAAAAGCTAATTATTTCATTCCCTGGCTACAGGGGGAAAAGACACTTCAAAATAAACACTCTCTCCCTGCCTTAAGACTAAATTATTAACAACATTTTTTTTTCTTTTGAGTTGTTTTAACCTGTTCTTTAAATACATACAAACCAAACCCATATTTGCTAAGAGAATTCCCAGCATGTCAATGATAAATAAATTGCTTAACAGATTTCTTTTTCCTCCTCCTCTTGATTTCTCTCCCCACCATCTTTCCTATGATGCCAGACCTTACCTGGGTCAGTTGTTCAGATCGGTCAACTCGGAACTTGACAGGAATGAAACCTTAGCCTTTAGTCAAAATGTCAATACACAGTCTCTTCATATAGCAATTCATGGGCAGAGGAATGAAAAACCTTTAATCAATTTTTTCCATTGCTTAACTGCTGGTGAATGAACACCTCTTAGTCAGTGAGAGGCAGATACAGGACACATTAGATAAGGTTCTCTCCACACTGTTGCCATCAAACACTCCTGTGTATATGTTTTGGGGTGGGGGAGGGCAGTTGAGAGAAGGGTCTTTGTTCACCAATTAGACTTCAGTAGTAGTAATGGGAAGAGATGACAAAGATTGATACAGTTCCATAGGAACAGATTTTTTTTCTTTTTATAAGTACAGAAAAAAACAAAACAAAATTAAAATTCCAATGTGACTGAGAACTGCATTCAATCCAGTCCAAGCAAATATTGTTGGGGGATAAAAAGAAACAAAAATGCTTGAGTGGTTCAGAGAGCTCTGTGCTGGACATAGGCACGATTGAGAACAACTTCAACATTCGTGCCTCCTTGATTGCAGATATCGAGGATAAAGATGAACAGCATTTCCTCCAAACCAACTGCAGATCTGAGAATGTCACCTGTCAATAAGCAAATCCGTGATTTGTAGGTTAGGTTAAAAACTGTCAATTTTCACTTTTGTACTGCTTGGTTTTCAAAACTTATCCATTGGCGCTTAGAAGAATGAAAGGTGATCTTATTGAAACAGAACTATGAATTGATGGATAGATGCTGAGAGGATTTTCCCTCTTTGGGAAAAACTAGAACTATGGGACACTTTAAAAATAAGCAGCCTCATTTAAATTAGAAGTGACGAACATTGTCTTACAGGCTTATTGGTTTGTAGTTGCCTTCCTCATTGTGCAATGGAGGTTGGGTCATTGAATATTTTAAAGGGTGAATCACAAAATCCCTAGAGTGCAGAAACCGGCCATTCAGCCTATCAAGTGTACACCAACCCTCCAATGACATAACATAACAATGACATTTCCTTGGGTAAATGTTAACAAAGAGCTCTACTGAAACTGCACGACCAGATGCTTCTTTTTCTAACTTACACCTGTCATTTCAAAATAGTTTAGCAGAGTTTTTTTTTTTTAAAAACTCCTTGACAGCTGCATCCAGTTTTTTATTTAAAGTTTGAAAAGCAGACCACTGCAAGAATTTCAGATTATAACAGTTATACAAAGTTTCAAAATACTCCATTAATTCCCAACGCCAACACTGCAAATGAAGGCTCTCGTACAGTCAAAATGGGATCTCTTTGAATTCAGCACCACCCTCTTTTGCTGCTGGTAAAAACTGGATGTCAAAAATAGGGTCATGCCTTCCACATCAAAGGATAAGGAAACAAAAGGATGTGGTAATAGTGAGATGATGAAGAGTGGGAACAGAGTTAAGCTATCAGTAGGCAGTTGGAACTCAGTCAGAGTCAGTATATTCAGGAACAGAGAGAGAAGACAACAGTAGGGTCAATTACCAGGGGAAGGTGTAGAGCTCTCTGCACTGTCTGTGCCAGTATGGCAGGTCTGGCTGGATGCTGGCCCTCCGTGAGCCAGAATGGAGATCAGGGTGTTGCTGTGCTTGGCAGGATACATCGCTCTGTGATCCAACCTGGAAATGATAGGGAGAAAGATGGCATCTAAAGACAGCTCTTCATTCAGTCCTGGAAATTGAGAGAGGATAAAACAAGTAAGATTCCCGTTTAATATCCCCTTTTCTCCTAACTTAAGATCAAGTTGTTGAAGGTATTTCCAAACTTTGCTGTAATAATCTCAGCTGTCGATTGGATATTAACACTCTTAGATTAAGGAACACAGAGTTCCTGCTCCAGATCACAATCAAAACCATCCCTCCCACCAAGCATCAGGGGTGGAAATTTCGAATAAGGCAAAGATAGGAGTGTTCAGACAAATAGAAGGCCCACAACAACCTCCTTAAAGCAACTGGGGATAGACAATAAATGGCAGCCATACCAATAAAACCTCCATTGATATGAATGATTTGAAAATAAGTAACTTTTACCTGATTGCTGTCCATATCCCTGGGAGATTTCAGAAGAGCTGACAAGGTCACATATGAACAGCTCTTGGAGAAGCCTTCTGAAGGGCAATAGTATCGGAGGCATTATATTCCAGCAACACACAGCACATTACAAAGGAAAGTGACCAAAGTTGGAACCTACAGCACTAGAATCATACAGGGCCAAAGTCTACAGATGGCCATTTGCCCCACTGTGTCTATCAACTCCTTGCAAGAGGAATCCAATTCTAATCCTCTCTGTCCCAATATCTCCCTATAGAACATTATCCCAAATTAATCCCACTGCTCTATTCTCTCACCACAGCTCTGTATCAGTTTCAAAGTAATTACACTCCTCCTATAGATTTGTATCCAAACTAATCTCATCGTCCATGCTTTCCCCAAAGACTTGTGACAACCTAAAAATTGGAATGTACAGGCTAGTCCCAGGATCCAGAAGCTCCTGCACAAACTGCCAATACATGCTGACAGTAGCAAAATCTTGAGACTGCCAGATCTTGTTAACCAAGCTCCCTTTACCTAAAATGGTCACAGTGTAGTATCCGCAGCAACACGCTGGTTCACAGTGTTCCAGATCCTCAATCTGACCTGCTGGGATTCCAGAAAAATTAGAGGGCTGGAGACCAAAGGTTTTGAGGAGCAAGGACTTGTCTCTGAAGTGGAAGCGACGAGCCACCATTTGGGAAATGTCTCCGCGATGGGCGATGTGCTCCTGCTGTGACGGGCAGGCAGTCCAAGAGAAGATGGGATGGGCTAAGCTCATTGCACTTGGCGTCTCCTCCATATCATCAGAGTCTGTGCAGAACTCCTCACATGCTTTTATGAAGTTTAGAGCTTTAAAAGGAAGAACAACTGTGCTGCATTCATACCATTCCAAATTTCACATCTAAGTCTGCTTCATATAAAACAGTTTAACAGTACAGCCATTATTATGGAAGTGAATGCAGAAGCCATTTTGTGCATAGTACAACTATATGCACTGCAAAGATTGGTGGTTATGAATCTACTTTTAATGTTATTGCTTTAGGAATCAGACCAAGAAAAGTCTCTGCTCTTCAGCTAAAATTATAAAATCTTTTGATTTGAACAGTTGAACAACACTGATATTTAACATCTCAACCCCCAACTCTATGTTGATATTTTAGCCTATCTTAAACGTTGGATACAATGTAAATAAACCCACAAGATGAGTGTCACAGAAATTTACAGCTCAATAGGTGGCCATTCAGCCCATCTTATCTTTTGCTTTGCAGATCAATCCTGAATATTCCCACTGTCGTGTCTTCCCAAATACTTACATCAATGCCAAAATAATCCAAGTGCCTTGCTCTCTCCTCACAACTTTGCAGCAATCCCCAAACTAATTCTGTTGACTCATGCCTTCCCTACAACCCTATATCAATCCCCAAACCAATTCCATTGACATGCTGTCTCCAAATAGCCTTGTATAAACCCCAAACTAATCACACTGCTCTTCTCTCTCCCCTTTGTCCTGCATCATCAATCCCATAGCCTCACTTTTTCTTCATAACCTGATTTAGTCCCTGACCAACCCCATTGCTCCACTCTCCCATTATAGCCCTGTATCAAGCCCAGACTAATCTACTATCCTGAAATGCATATAGATCTTTACCTATAATCATGAAAAATTATTACTGTAATATATTGATGATCTAGGGCATAACTTCAGATTACACAAAATTCAAATGTAGCAAACTGTGAGTAAAATAACAGACTTCATTCAGGAGGACACAGAAGAATTAGATAGATGTGCACTAGTGATGCCAAGGAATACAAGGCTATGGACCAATTGCTGGAAAATGGGATTAGAATAGTCAGATGGTTATTTTTGACTGGTGCAGATCCGATGGGCCAAAAAGCCTTTTTCTGTGCTGTAGACCTCTATGACTCTTTGAGACACTTGGCAGGTGAAATTTAAGGCAAAGAAATATTAAGGGATTCATTATGGTATAAAGAATAAGGTCAGTAAATATAAGCTAAACTGAAACAATTTGGTGGGAAGGTGCAGGAACAGAGAATTTTCCATTTTGTTGTGATGATGCGTAATGTGCTGCTTGAATGAATGGTGGATGCAGATTCAGTAATAATTTTAAAAAATGTAACTGCAGTGGGCAAAATCTACGTCTATACAAAAAAGCCAATACAGACAAAATTGACAGAATAGCCTCCACAAGAACCATGATTCTAATTACAACGACAAACTCAAACTAATCCTGGTTTTCTCCATTACATCAGACTGCTGGGACATTGATAAACTATCTGGATGAAAATAACATAGAACATGAATTGGCGCCAACAGAATTGGCGCCAACAGATAATATCAAAGAGCCTCTCAATGTTTCTAACCTGTTTTTGGGACAAGAGAGGGTCGATTAGTTCCTTTCCAAACTTGAATCGACTCAAACATAGCAGAGATGGTTCCACGTATTAATCTCTGCAGCCACAAAAGTGCTGGCTTGTGAGTTTGTCAGGTACCAGCTGTCCTCTGGTATCTCACCAGCACTGGCATGCTGCATTTGAGAACCTAGTCACAGAATACAGCCAGATCTTTAGCTGCTAAGGAGAACAGCAGGGCATGGGATCACAGCTCAGTCATATTCTGACTTCAGGAGTTATCACCTTTGGGGTGATAACCCATAGCCATATCCTAATAACAGAACAAAACACTGAATGCTGTGAGGAAGCTTGGTTTGTTCGAACCTTTCCCAGGACTTGCATCACGGTTCATGTCCTTCTCATGTTTTCGTAGATGGTGAGTTGGATTCTCTTCCTCCCCAGTTGATTCTGTATCCTTACCGAGTCTAGGTTAAAAAGGAACTAATTATACTATGTGGTGCTTTCACATACTAATGTTCTAAATGTTTCACTAGGGAGAGTTTAAGTGAAAACTAGAATTTATTGTCACGTACTAAAAGGTCGTAGAAATCAGAGTCAAAGAGTTACCTTTTTACAAAATGATACGGCAGAGGAGGCTGTTCAGCCCACTGTGCCTATTGTGTCTCTTTAAAACAGTTTTCCCATTAGCCCCATTCCTTTGCCCTTTCCCTATAGCCCTGCAAATAACTCCCTTTTGAAAGCCATTTTTGAATTGGTTTCCACCATCATTTTAGGCAGCATGTTTCAGATCACTACAACTCACCCTATAAAAGGTAATCCCCCATTTCCCCCTCTGGTTCTTTTACTAATGATCTTAAGTGTGTTCTCTGGTTTCCCATCCATTCTGCCAGTGCTAACTGTTTCTCCCTTTTTACTGTATTAGTAGGAGTAATATAGAAGAACTACTTTAAATCTCTCTTCAAGCCCTAAAGAGAACAATCTCAGCTGCTCAGTTTTCTCAAATAACTGAAGTCCCCCATTCTGGCCAGTCTCATAAAGCTCTTCTCCACTCTCTCCAGACCTCAACATCTTTTGAAAATGTAATGCTTAATATCTGAAGCAACAACCCAGCTGAGGCCCAACCAGTAATTTACAAAGCTTTTGCACAAATGCTTTGGATTTGAACTCTGTGCTTCTAAAGTCCAGAGTACATTTTTTAAAGCATAAAAGTAGGAACTCTTGCTACAGTTATATAGGGAATTGGTGAGATGACATTCAGAGTACTGTGTACAGTTTTGATTTCCTTATTTGAGGAGGTTCTTCACAGAAAATTCACTAAGTCGATACCTGGAACAAAGCAGCTGTCTCATGAGGAAACATTAATCAGATCGTGGTTCAGTGGCATTTAGAAGAGGTGATCTTGTTGAAAAACAAGGTTTTGAAAGTTTAAGAATAAAGGAGCTCCTATTTAGGACAGCAAAGAGGAGGAATTTCTTTTCTCGCAGGATTGTCAATCTTTAGAATTTCCTCCGACAAACAGCAGTGGAGGCAAGGCCGCTGAATATATTCAAGACTGACTGAGACATGTTTTTGATCCACGAAAAGTCACAGGTGGTCAGAAAGCAAAAGTGGAGTTACGGCCACAATCAGATTAGCCATTATTTTAATTATGGCAGAGTCAGCTCAAGGGGCTAACTTCTATTCCCACTTTTTTTCTTCTACATTAAACAACCATGACATCTATTTTTAAGTGAACAGCTATTATTCAGTAAAGAGATTTAAGAGATTTGGAAGGTAGTGTACATAGGCATTGTCACCACATCTGCAGGAAGGAAAATATGGAGCTGTCAGAGGTTAGAGAGCAGAGGATATAAGCATTAGAACATAGTGCACTAAAAGATATGGAACTTGCGAAGTTTAAAAGGATGATGTTGCTGAATGTGTGCAATTCTGGATAAGTTACAACATTGTTCTCAATTGTTCTTGCAATTTGGAACTTGTGCACAGTGGAGCTAAGCGAGGGAACACAGAGAAGAACTCCAGCCTAAAGGTGAGGCGTTTACTGGGTTGTGAAGACAATGTGAGCTCATGGAGAATTTAAATGCAGACTTACAAGAATTATGCAGTGTTCACAGCACAGAAACACACCTTTTGGCCCATGGTAAACTTTATGCTCTGTACAAGCTTCCTCTTTATCAGAACCTATTAGCACAATCTTCTATTCGTTTCTCCACCAAGTATTTATCCAGATTCCCCTTAAATGTTTCTACACAATTCACCTCAGTCACTGTCTTTTGTAGCGAGTTCCTCACTCTCACCATTGGTTGGGCAAAAAGGTTTCTCCCTAATTCTCTGTTTCACTTATTAGTGGATATGTTACAGTTATATCCTCTAGTCAGCACCTTTAGGAAGGAATTGGAGTTCATCCATTAGACGTGCAGTGCTGAGCAGCAAGACATTCAGAGTGAGTGAATGCTTCAGTTACCTCACTGGTGTGCATTTTCTCTCGCAGAATGCGCCTTTTCTTTTTCTTTTCTTTGACAAGCCCGCTTGTTTTTTTGGAGGAGGTCCACTGGTGAAACATAAAGTTACAGTATATTAATTCAGTCGCATTTCCAACAGAGAAGTTTATGGTGTTCCTTTGTGGCGAAGTTAGGTCTCACTGTACTGCCTCCTACTGTATGACTCACGCTCCCCTCCTATGCCCCTTTCCAAACCCCCAGTGTCTCTAAACTGTGCGAATTGTTAGCTCCCTCAGTTACATCTCACAACACAGGGGAACTAAAAGCTATGCTTGTCACCTGATCACAACCTTTTGTCTACCTTTCCAAACTTGGTTTCACTCTCCTGGATTACTGCTGCTAATTATGTCTTTTGATTATCGTTTGAGTTGTTTGAGATGGTAACTTGCCCAACAAGATGAGGAACACCCTCGGATCCACTCTCTAGTCTGTAATCTGGCATTAGCCCTGGCAGCAAAGTAAGAGGTCTCTGGAAAATGTGAGAGAGAGGGTGGGAGAAATCAGCCAAGATTCCTACGTCTGATAATCATCCCAATGACCAACTCCCCACCCCACCTAGAAATGTAACTGGCTGCACACCAGACTACACCACAATGCTCTTTGCAATCAACTAGCTCATTGGCACTCACTGTTCAGATTCATGAATGTGAAACAGGCAGAGGGAGTTTTGAACACAAACCCCATACGTTGGTCATTGCCTTCACCAGGGGACAGGAGATCTCGAGCACTGAGTAATTCAAGTAGCTGGTTTCTCTAACCAGCAAAATAACTGACTTGGAATGCTTGAACTAGTCCCCAGCTGGAAAAAAATTCCATTCCTTACAAATAAATATGTCTTGCCTTCACAAACACAAATCTCCAACAACAGAAAACAATTCCACATTTCCACACCTGGAAAATAAACCTCACCTCATGACAGGGATTACAGGACTTTTGTTTCCTCTTGTGCCCCGAAATGGCTGGTCAGCATCAAGTAATTCTTCACACTCCTCAGTTCCTCCAACAGCATTATAGACTTCAGTAAACTGTAAGACAAGAACTTGCCAGAGAAACCAATTGGCTACCTGATAGGCTGGAAATCTGATCATATGACAGCAACTTCCTGTTCTTCCACCAAGAAGTAACTTCACAAAAGCCTACATCAGTGTCTTCTTTACCCAGCACAAACCCCCGATATGGTGAAAGGTGGTGTATTACTGCCTTGTAAGATAGCAAGGGTATCTTATTGGTGCATTGACATGAAACAACGAGGAAACATGTTTCTGTACAAAGTGACATTGGGACATTTAAAAACTCAACTTCAAAAATAATCAGTTGGCTGTAAAGTCTTTGTTGTGAGGTAGGAAGCACAGCAGTCAATTTGTGCTCAGCAAGCTGTCATCAGAAAATGGCCAGAAAACACGTTTTCTCGTAATGTTATGTCGCATATACACATCAGCCAGGAGACTAGGCACACTTCCCTGGTCTTCTTCAAAGTAATCCCTTGGATTCTTTTAAGTTCACCAGAATGCAGACAAAGCCTTGGTTTGATGTTTCATCTATTACCTCCAACAGTACAACACTCGATCAGTATTCTACTTTTTGAGTGTCTACTTGGTTATAATGCTCAATTTTCCACGGTGGGATCTGGACCCACAGATCTTGAGGTGCAAGCTCTGACCACAGGTGACACAAGATGTCTTTGAGTTAGGTAATGCTGCCCTAGTGATTCCATCTGGCATGTCTAGAAGCACACAAACAAATACAATTTCTCCTTTCCCAACACTACTCAAGTCAATGTATTCTATACAATATTCCATTCTTAGTCTCTTCCTTTTGCCACCAACCCCATTGTAAAACAACTGTTTAGACATCTCTGTTACCTCTTCATCCATTCTGCCCAGTAACTGGTATTTTACAGATTTGATTCGTCCCTGTACAGTGACCTGCCTATACTCTCGATACTCCAGCTGATTCAGGTACTGCTTCAATTCAGACATCGTAGTCAAGGGAGACATACCTAAAAAAGATAGATTTGGCTTTTCTTAAAAAAAAAGCACAAATGTTTTTGCTCCTTTCCTGTAGGCACTGCATACCACCATACATTAGATCACAGTAACCCCCTTAAACAGTGAAGTTGCACAAAACTTACATGACATAGAAGGGAGGGCAACCTGTCTTAAAGTAACAATATTTTGATAGTCATGTCGAGTGACTGCAGGACACTAGGGCAATCTATGAATTGTGGTGGTGAAAACTTTTATGTCCACCTTGAAGGGCAGATAAAGCAACAGAAAGACTGCAACTCCTACAGTGAAGCATTGGCTGCAATTAAAGTGTCAGCCTATATTATGTCCCAACCTTCTGCAGTAGTATTGAGACCACAGCCTTCTAAGAGGGAGCGCAGACAGCAGCCGAGCAGAGAAGCCCAAAGCAGATAAAATAAATACGTGACACTGGACATTAAGCAAGAGACCAGATCCAGCTTCCTCACCAAGTATTTCACGTCGATAATCCCGCTCGCTTGGAGGAAGGGGAGGATAGGTGTAACATCCACCAATCTGAGTGTGGCTTAATGTGTCCCTTTCTTGATCCTTGGCAGATTGTATCCAATTAATAAACTCCTTTACCTTTGGGTTTTTCACGTATAATTTCCCATGATGATGACCTAAAGGGGACAGGTGAAGGTGGAAATACATTAAGACCTTAGTCAAGACATTATGCAGTGAATTACGTCTATGCTCAGAGACCAGGGGAACTGCACATAATGTCACACACCATTTCTTGCCTGCTGGACAGATAACTGTAAAAGCTTGGTGCAGTAGCCAGCCCACCAAATTCCAAGCTTATTTGTCACTGTGAGCTGATAAGAAGTTGGGGCAGTAGTTGTCTACATACAGTCGTACAGTACGGAAACAGTCCTTTGGTCAAACTTATCCATGCCGTCCAGATAACCTATAAAAATCTAGTTCCATTTGCTAGCATTTGGTTATATACCCATCCAGATGCCTTTTAAATGTTGTAATCGTACCAGCCTCTAACACTTCCTCTGGCAGCTCATTTCATACACACACCACCCTCTGCGTGAAAACGTTGCCCCTTAGGGACCTTTTTATAACTTACTCCTCTCATCTTAAACCTATGCCTGCTAGTTTGACTCCCCCACTCTGAGAGAACGACCTTGGCTATTCACCCTATCCATGCCCCTCATGATTTTATAAACCTCAATAAGGTCTCCCCTCAGCCTCTGACGGTCCAGGGAAAATAGCTCCAGCCTATTCAGCCCGTCCTTATAGCTCAAATCCTTCCAAGCCTGGCAACATCCTCGTCAATCTTTTCTGCACCCTTTCAAGTTTCACAACGTCTTTCCTACTGCAGGGAGACTAAACTGAACACGGTGTTCCAAAAGTGGCCTAACCAATATTCTGTACAGCAGCAACATGACATCCCAAATCTTATACTCAATGCACTGACCAAAACATGCTACCTCAAATGACCTAAAAGGCAGGAACAAATCCTCAGCTGTTCTAGGGCCTCATGTTGCTGTTAAGTTTATGAAAGTATCAGTTAGGATCAGGAGGAGGTCACTCAGTATCGCAAGCCTGCTGTGCCATTCAGTAAGATCATGGCTCATCGGATTACACCATTTTCCCGCCTGCCCTCAATAATCTTTCACCTGCTTTATTATCAAGCATCTATTTACTTTTGCTTCAAAAATATTTAAAAATTCTACTTCCATCTCTCTTTGAGGAAGAGAGGTCCAAAGTCTCATGAGCTTCTGTGACAAAAAAGTTCTCCTTGTCACCGTCTTAAATGGGTGATCCCTTATACTGTTTTTATCAACAGTTTTGGGGTGGAATGTGTGCCTCCAGCAATCAAACATAATATGTTGCAAAGGATTAGTTTAACTTCATTCATAGAATGCGAGCAAGTCTATTAAGGGTCCTCCACATCTCCAACACAGTGCTAGACATTTTCTCTCAGATAAAAATTATATTCTCGTCTGATCAAGCTTTCTTTTAGAAGTGTCAAGTGAACCAAATCAAGTCTCTCTCCATTCCAACTATTTACTGAGTAAACCTACATTAGGAGGCTGACATAGGAACAGGAGATCATTCTGTCACCTGAGCTGGTCTGACACTTAGATTGAGCTATACTTCTAAATTCATCTGTCTGCCTTGGGTCCATAACCTTCAAACTGTTCACCCAACAAAAATCTACTGACTACATTTTCTATTTTCTTACCAACCCTCCCTTATTAGGGTTCACTCCCATCCCTCTAGTCATGAGGTAGCACAAGAAAACAGGGCCCCATCCTTCAGTGTTTGTCAGCAATACATGCACTAGAAGTCCTCTCGCCATATACATACCATTGACATATACTTGGCTGTACTCGGTGCTTTGCAGGTAAGGAAATGCTGTCTGTCCGCTGGGATCGATCATTTTGCATTCCAGCCTAACATTCGTACACACAAGCAAGGTCACTTAAATCAAAAAAGAAACACTTTTGAGCATGGGTTTTAGATGAATCATTTTGTTTGTCTTGGCATCATCATTTTTATAACTAAGTTAAGGCCCTCCTCTGCTAATACTCCTGAACGGTTTGGAATCTGGAAATGAACTATAAAGGCACAACCAACAGACTGGTGTATCCCTTTAGGAATGTCATTTCAGTGTTCATAACAATTCAACAAGGAATAAAGAACAAGAGTAGGCCACTCGTTCTTTTCAAGCCTGCTCTGCCATTCATGGCTGATTTTAACCTCAACTCTATATTCCTGCATTCTCCCAATAAGTTTTCATCCCTTTAGAATCATAGAATCCCTACAGGGAGGAAACAGGCCATGCAGCCCATCAAGTTCACATTGCCCCTCCATACAGCATCCCACCCAGATCTCCCCTCTGCCCTCCCACACCGGTGCTGTGAGGCAGCAGTCCTAACCACTGAGCCACTGTGCCTCAATCAATAATAACTCACTCTGCTTTAAAAATACTTAAAAATTCTACATTCACAGCCTTTTGAAGAAGGCAATTCCAAAGACTCACAACCATCACAGAAACTGTTTCTCCTCTTATCACTTGTCTTATATGGGTGACACATTATTTTAAATTACAATCCTAGTTCTATATTCTTCCATAAGAGGAAACATCATTTCCACATCCACCAGTTAAGATCTTTCAGGATCGTATATGTTTCAATTAAGTCACCTCTGACTCTTTCAAACTCCAGTGAATACAGGCTTAGTCTGTCTAACCTTTCCTCATAAGGCAGGCTGCTCATTACAAGTATTAGTCGCGTAAACCTTCTCTTAACTGCTTCCACTGCATTAACATCCTTCCATAAGTATGATGACCAGTGTTGCCCAGATGGGGTGCCACCAATGCCCTGTATAACTGAAGCATAACGTCTCTACTCTTGCATTTAATTCCCCTCAGAAAAAAACATAAACAGACAAATCTACTGGAATGCTTGAGGATGTATCTAGCAGAATTGATCCGGGGAAACTAGTGAATGTGGTTTCTTTGGTCTTTCAGAAAGCTTTAGATGCAGGAAGATATTCCTGATGGTGGGGGAGTCCAGAACTAGGGGTCATAGGTTATGGATAAGGGGTAAACCTTTTAGGACTCTGATAACAAAAAATTCCTTCACCCAGAGAGTGGTGAGCCTGTGGAATTCACTATCACAGAAAGCAGTTAAGGCCAAAACATTGTGTTTTCAAGGAGGAGATAGATATAGCTCTTGAAGCTAAAGGAATCAAGAGATTTGTGGGGAGGTTGAGATTAGGATATTGAGTTTGACGATCAGCCATGATCCTACTGAATGGCAGAGCAGGCTCGAGGGGTCGGATGGCCTACTCCTGCTGCTATTTTCTATGTTAAATGTTATCCACCTGTAAATTCTAACATCCATAAATTTCAGGCTTCCACCTCTGGACTGCTTTTGTAACTAAAACAATTCTCCATCAAAGTGTGACACCTTCAGCAACGATGGTTGAAGGGTGACAAACTGGGGCTAGACATTTAACACAACATACTAACAGATCTCCAGTAGCACTGCAGGCAGTAATTTGGGCATTGTGCTGATTGGTAATGCCTGTTGTGGCACGTAATGGTCAACAAAATAAACAGTGGATAGGACAGTTGGATTTAACATCTTGCATGTACTTCACAGATTACAAAGTAGGTCATTCACACAAAGTGAAGCCTCAATGTGTCTTGCTGGATAGTACTGAGTCCATCGCTATTCCCAGAAAAAGTGAAGAATCCTCCTAATATTTCTGCAAACTTCCAGTCGTACAGATTAACCAGCCATTCATTTCATAGAATCATACAGTACAGAAGAGGCCCTTCAATCCATAGAGTCCGCACCAACAAAAAGTTACTCCCTAAATCTACGCAAGTCCCATTTTCCAGCACTTGGCCCACAGTCTTAAATGTTATGACATTTCTAGTGCTCATCCAACTCTTTCTTAAAGGTTCTGAGGTTTTCTGTCTCAACTGTTGTCCCTGGCAGTGCATTCCAGATTCCCACCACATTCTCAGTGAAAAACATTTTCCTCAAATCCCCTCTAAACCTCTTGCCTTTCACCTTAAAATCATGCCACCTTGTTACTGACTCTTCGACAAAGGGGAGCAGCTGTTTTTTATCCATTCTGTCCATCCCCTCAATCTTATACACCTCAATCACATCCCTTCTCCCACCTTCTCTGCTCCAAAGAAAACAACCTGAGCTTATCCAGCCTTTGTTCATAGCTAAACTGCTTCATTCCAGGCAATATCCTGGTGTATCTTCTCTGCACCCCCTCCAGCACAATCACATCCTTCCTTTATTGTGGTGACCAGAACTGCATGCAGTACTCCAGTCATAGTCAAACCAAAGACCTGTACAGCTCCAACACAACCTCTGTGCCCTTATCAACGATGCCAGGACTGATAAAGGTACTTGCCTCATATGCCTTAACTACCCTGTTAAATGACTCGCCATCTTCAGAGGTCTATGGACAAGCAACCCAAGATCCCACTGTTTTTGAGCTTCCTCGTGTCCTGTCATTGATTGATTGTACATTTGTAGTTCGTGGGATGTCCCCTGTTGCCGAATGACAGCTGCACAAGCTGACTCAACTTATTTACACCTGAGATAACACAGTGTGGAGCTGGAGGAACACAGCAGGCCAGGCAGCATCAGAGGAGCAGGAAAGTTGACGTTTCGGGTTGGGACCCTTCTTCAGAAATGGGGCT